CCAAAATCAGGACTGCCCTGAGTTCCCCTAATTTTTGCTGCCTGGTCATACGGGACTACCATCAAAACACGGATTTGTCCCTGAGCCTAAGCCCCGAAACTGCAGATCTCAGGCGGCGCACTGCTTGTGGCCGCCTGACACCGCGCCAAGGCATGGAAGGAGCTCGACGACAAGCGCAAGGCAGAAATGCAAAGGTCAAGGTAGAGGATAGCACTGGCTGAAGAAGCTACTGTCCACTTCTCTGACTGGACTGAGGTCAAGCATGAGGACCGGTCTGGGTTAGTGAAAGTGTTGGAAGGTGATATGCTTGATATGAAGAATTTGCAGAATCCTTTGCCCTTCTCTTTGGTCATCTGCGACTTCCCTTACGACTTCAATCTTCCGATGTCAGCAGATGACACTCAACCTTTTCCCGAGGACGACATTGTCCTTGTCCTGCAGAACGTGAAGGAGGTGTGCACAGGGCCACTCTGGACGGTTGCTGGGTTCTGCTCTGTGGACATGCTCTCTTATATCAGGAATGCCTTTGCCAGGGTTTGCAATGCAGGCCAGGAGGTGGTCACATGGTGCAAGCCGAATGTCATGAATACAGGTGGCCCTCGTCTTGTCAGCACAACTGAGTTCTTTGTGATTGGTTACTACAGCGTGACTGGTTCATGGGAGGCGACCCACTACAATTTCGCCTCTACGGATCCTCGCCATAACTACCGTCTTTTTGATGCTGTGATGAAGAAGTACAATCACCCTCTCGACCTTGCAGTCCTGTGTCCGTACCAGAAGCCAGTCACCCTGTACGCTTGGTTGGTAGACAAATTTTCCCCTCCTGGCTCGTACGTCATCGATGGCTTCTCAGGCTCTGGAACTGGGGCAATTGCCTGTGTTCTTCGCAACAGGAATTGCTTAGTTGTCGAGAAAAACAGTCGGTGCGCCGTCGGTATTCGGGCGCGCATTCTCAATGACATTGGACTTACCATCGACAGAGAATGCAGGCGTAAGGAAGCCAAAGAGGCCGACAAATACTACAAGTGCGCGTTCGTTGCAGAGGAGGAAGCAACAGGGACGGATGCACGACCGACCAATGAGGAGCTGGAGGTCATCTGTCTGGCGAAAACAACTGCAGCGTCCCAGGCGGCAGGAACTGCAGCAACAGGAACAGCAGCTGCAGCAACAAACGTGGGGGTAGTAGCAGAGGGTGCAGCAGCTGCAGTAACAGCAGCGGCAGTGACAATAACAGCAGCAGCTGCAACAACTGGACCAGCAACAGCACCAGCAACAGCACGAGCATCAGCGGCACAGCGCAGGCAAGGGTCGTGCATAGAACCTGGGGCCAGCCAGGACTCGTCAGTAGGAACCACCACGCGGGGGGCAAGGAAGAGGAAGCAGGCCGCCGTCGCTAAAGAGGTTAATAGCCCAAGGGCGAAAACGCATGTGATTGCGCTGATCTCGAGAGCAACCTCGGGTGCTCTTACACGGGATGCTGGCGGTAGTGGCAACTAGCAGCTCTCTGCAACAGAGTAACGTTGTTGATTTAAAGTTCTATAAACGTAGGCGAGGACTTGCATGACCTGAAATCTGTTTATAGGTTTATAAACAATGTTGAAGATAGTGAAGCGGTGGAGCATCCTGCCTCTTGTTTTTTGTTCTTCCGACTTCATCCCCTCGACTGCCGAGAGAGAGAGAGCGAGTGAATGAGACAGAGAGAGACAGAGAGATCCTAGTGTGTGTGTGTGTTTGTGTGTGTGTGTGTGTGTGTGTGTGTGTGTGTGTGAGAGAGAGAGAGAGAGAGAGAGAGAGAGAGAAAGGGGGAGAGACAGAGAGATAAGAGAGAGAGAGAAAAAAAAAAAGAGAGAGTAAAAGAGCAACTCTTTGCAACAGACTAACGTTGTCGGACTTAGACTTTATAGTTCTATAAACACAAGCGAGAACTTGCATAACCTGAAATCTGATTATAGTTCTATAAACAAAGTTGAAGATAGTAAAGCGCTGCAGCATCCTGCCCCTTGTTAATGTTCTTGCCACTTCATCCCCTCGATTGCCGAGAGAGAGAGAGAGCGAGAGAATGAGAGAGAGAGACAGACAGAGAGATCCTAGTGTGTGTGTGTGTGTTTGTGAGAGAGAGAGAGAGAGGGAAACACTGGGATAGAGAGAGAGAGACAGATTAGTTCCTCGTGTGTGTGTCTACGCTTTCACTGCTCTCTGCATGCCCATCTGAGAGAGAGTGAGAGACAAAGAGAGGGAGATCTTCGTGGTGAGGGTTTACCTACGGTAGCGCCAGACACTGCAGCTGCAGCGTTGCCAGTAACAGCAGCACCACCAGCAGAAGTAGCATCAGCAGCAGCAGCAAGATTAGGCCTGTTCTGCTTTGTTGTTTGTCGTTTCTTAAGGGTGGCGGAATGACTGAGCAGCGGTCCATTGTTGGCCAATTCTGCTTTTGGACATAACCCAGACGCTAACCCCTGAACTGGGAAAAGGACCCAGATTTTCTCTGGGTTGTTTAAAGTGAGCTAGTTTTAGGTGGAGGTGGGAACCAGGGCACTCGGTTCCATTTGGGTTTCAGCCGCAGGAGGCAACAGGTAGGTGGTGGGTGGGAGAGTGGCACAATTGACAAGGAATGCGAATTCCAATCAGCCGTTCGTGCGGGCCGAGAGTCGGCCTGTTTTAGAGGGTTTAAGGAGGTTAGGTTAGGCCAGTTCGGCAGTGTGAGCAGCAGCAGCAGCAGCGTGTTACATTACTAAGCCTAACATTCTTCTTTCGGCACCTCCTTTCTCTGTGGATGTTCTTTGCTTTCTTAGTAGGTGTTAGCGACGTCAGAATCTTGTCTGTGCTTCTGAGTGAAAGACACAGTTTGTGAGGCCCCTCAAGCCCGGGCCTATTTCGGATTTGCTTGGATTTGACTCTTCGTACATAAATTTTGGATTGTGACGTTTGGATTGTTTTTAAGGTCGACGACGACCTCAGCAGGCAGTTGCGATTGGACTCAAATTGTGTACTAGAATCTTGTTGTCTATTTCGGAGTTTTTTTTTTTTCATCAAGTACACCTCCCTCTCTCTCTCTCTCTCTCTCTCTCTCTCTCTCTCTCTCTCTCTCTCTCTCTCTCTCTCTCTCTCTCTTGGCGGGAACATCTTTGCAGGCCCTGAACCTCAATCTACAATTGTCTCTACATTCGGGCATTCAACCCTCGGTATCTACAGGAAGGAGAGAGAGAGAGCGAGACAAAGAGACAAAGAGAGAGAGAAATCAAAAGTGCAAAAGTGGTGTGATAATCTTACACAACTGGAATGACCCGCACACTTGTGGCCTGAGGAATACGGACTTTTCTGACAAGTCCCGAAGTCCAAATTCGGATGGAGGTCACAGTCAACTAGCCGGCTAGTTTTACAACAGATTTCGTCCTGATCCATCATTACGGCGGCACACTTAAACCACCAGTACCTCGCCCAGCTAAAAAAAAACCGACGCGGCCGTAAACGCGCCGCGACTTTCGGGGTTCGGCATAGGCTGGGTACTGGGATGGCAGAGGGAGTGGGTGGACCCAACGAAAATGAAGAGGGCGCAGGGATGCAATCTGCACGGGTTCATCACGTGTGTTTCCACATGCGCGGGTGCAATGAAGGAAGAAAAAGAAAACTGCAAACAATAGCGACTTCTGGTCTCCACACACTTTCTGAATGTATGTTCCCACACTTGTGGCCTGCAGCGTTTTCTTGCTTTTGTTTTTTTGTCTCGCAAAAAAAAAAAACAAAGGAACAATCTTCGCTGTATCTTTTTTTTTT